CCAAAAAATTCCAGACTGATCTTTCAGTTAACCCCATCCGCAATAACCACAAAGGTTGCAGAGGCTCTGCTGTTTGCAGCAGATCAGATGTGCATAGGCGGTCCGTTAATTTCTCCGAGCTCTCGCTGGTTGCCTGTGTTTTGCTTTTCCTGATCCAGCTGCTGAAGCTGCAGCCTCCTCCCGGTTGCCTGGATACTCTGAATTTCCTCCAGGCAATTGCTAATCAATGTGCAGCTGCAGCTAGGTGCATCCCGCAGACGGCAGCCAGATCTGTCATCTAAATGCAGAAATCTGGAGCAGAATGCGATCGAGGAAGGGAACAGACACAACACAGGAGCAGTCGCTCTGCTCCTGGGAATCAGTTCCTCTGCTGCTAATCAGACAGGAGCACTCTTGCTGGATGTAGCTGAGCAGAGGCTCTTCTGCTGAAATTAAGGGTCAATTGTTTTGATTCTTGTGGAGTGCGAGAAGAAGAGCTGCACCTCAGAGAAGAAAACAATGACATTAATAATTGTATTTGAAGCCTTCGTGTCAAGGCCTTGCTTAATTTTGCTGCTTATCTCCAAGTCTCTTTGCCCAATACCCATTTGCATGAATACAGTACATTGCAAACTGTTTTTAAAACATAAGCAGTTACTGGAAGCCTTGTGAACGCAGTGTTGGAGCTTTGAAGATCAGATACGCTTATGGATGCAGGGTCATCTGTGCTGCACAGAGGGTTTTGAGGGCTTTTTTAATAATTACAGAATTACGCCTTACAGTAGGAGTCGATAAACGCACAAGCGCAGGGCCTCTTGCCCGGTACTTTGGGGCAAGACAACTGCGTTCCCTGTTCCAGGTCCCCTTCCCGCAACCCCTCTCCAAGGTGGGACTTCAAGGGAGCTAATTGGCGTATTTTTCTGAATTAAGTATCAAATTCCTGGTCCCAGAAACAAGCAATCGAAGAGGGTCTGTGAATTTGGTGCCCTTCAGGGGAGCATTGTTTTTAATAAGAATGTTTTTTGTTACTTTAAAATATTGCAAGGCAGATTTTCCATTGCTCCTGTTGTTTGAATTCACTAGCTGCAGGACAGGGCAGAAGCGGCCGTAGATTGCTCCCATGGATTATGAGCGCTGCTTGAACTGGCAGAGAGAGAAGTGTTAAGATAACGAGAACTCATCTTTGTTGTGATTAGCTGTTACCATGTTCTAATTACTGCGCATGATACTAAAATGCATAAGCTGCCGGCGCTTTCGGATAAGGAGATGAAAAGGAATCAGCTCCAAATAGGCATTCTGTTTTTTTCATTATTATTGGTATTTTTATGCACTCTCTTGTGTGATACTTTTCAGCGCGTGGATCAAGTCATGGTCTTTGCTGCAAAAGCTGCCATCAAAATTCAGTTGTGGTTAAATAAGTTTAAGTGCCAAGGGACCAAATAAAATAGCGGTTAGTGGAAGGTGGTGACAAGGAATTCCGTTATGGTGCGTGCATCTGTTGAGAGAATGCATTGTTATTAGATATTAATTCAGTTACTGTAAGTAGCATTCAAATGTGAATGAGAAGAGGATGAGGTTTGGGAGTGCAATTCCTGCAGGAATCAGACGTGGAAAAGTGTACAGTTTCGGACATGGTGGATGATTCAGAATTGGGATTTTCATAGAAAATTAGAAGTTTTCCCATTGCCTTGCTCAAAATATCTCCTTCCGTCTGGGAGATGAGTTGCTCTGTTCCAGCTTTGAACTATCACACTCTGGGCAGCGTCCCCGGAAATTTTGCAGAGCTTCACCTGAGTGGTTGTGGGAGCTCAGCAACCCAGGGAATCCTGCTGTAACTGCAAAGAGTTTGTGAAATGCTTTGGGACCCTCTGGGATGGCAGATGGTTGTGTATGTACATGTAACGTGCTATTAATAATTAGAGCTGATTGGATATTCAGTACAAATTGCACTGGCTATGAAGTTAGCCCCTTCTTTAGGCTTACAAGTGGTTCCCAAAACACAGCTAAAGCGTATTTTTAAAAATATGTTTTTTCATAAATATTGACAGATTAATTTGAGCAAACAATTTCAAGACTGAGTGCTTCAGGACTCTTACTTGGCTGTTCTCTGCCAAGTGGTGCACGTTTGGATTTCTGAGTCACAGGGTAAATGTTTTCTCTTTCTAAGTTGCAGGATTAGTTTTGTTGATGACTTTAAGCGCCATTCCTCCACTAACGGGGTGTCTGCCCCCAGGCCCCTATGCTGGGCCTTCTAAGTGGACTGGGAAGCAACGAGAAATGGATCCAATGGCATCCAGCAAACGTGAACTTTTGTCGAAAAGAAGTATTTTTCATTCTCTCTCATTCTCTGTTATGCCTGGAAGTTTGATTCTCCATCTTGAGCTGGGTTGTTTGCTTTGGAGAGGCCTGTTTTTTTTCCTGAGCAAGTTTTCTGAGTTTTTTTATCCATGGACTGTTGGGGAATCCAGCCTTACTTGCTGCTAGAGGAACTGAACAGGAACAAACTCAAAGATAACATAGCTTCCTTCTTAACTGGAGGAGGGGTTGTAAGAACTGTGCTATGTCCTTATCCAGGAGAAAATAAAAATGCATGCTAGCAACATGCATGTATCCCCTTCATGGACTGTATTGCATCCATCACAAACCTCTGGATTCAGCCATTTACAATATACCTGAAATATATTTCACACAAAATATTGGTGTTCAGAGCTATAAATAAAATCTGAACTCATGTGTCTCACATACACATGGATACGTGTGCTTAGTATTAACATCCTTATAAAACACACATTTTATTTAAAAAGAAAAAAAGGGAAAAAACCAAAGTAGTAGCATTCTTCTGGAGAAATGCAAAACAGGATAGGATGGAATCGGGACAGATTATCTTTTTTATCCCCCTACCTTTGTATTTATGCCCTTGCACTCTCTCTCCCCCATTCCTCCTCATTTTATATAAAATACATTTGCAGTATGTAGAGCATAAGAATCATGTCTCTAGCAGAGACTGCAACCTGCTTTAGGAGTCTCCATCCCCATTAGAAGCTCTTTCCAGAAAAAGTAATTTCCTTCTCGCTATAAATTATGCATCAATGTACATTTAAGATTCTGAAACGACGAGCAGAAGATGAAAGTGTTGCAGGATGTCGCTGCTCCTGTGGAGCTGAATCCACAACATTGTGTAGAGACTCGAGCATACCTTGTTAAGACAAACCTGCACGTGTTGCTGTCCTAGTACTCAGGCTGTGAAAGCTTGGAGAGAGGAGCTCCTCTGGCTGCTCGAGCCCCAGCTCTGGGAAGAAGACTTTTTCTCTCCTTGGAAGTCAGCGTTGGGGATAAGATGGCAATGCGTGTCCAAACTGGGCTTCCCTGGGTGGGCTCTGCCAGGCGGAGACAAGACACTTCCCCATCTCCCTCCCAATGTGTCTAGAGACTTCCCAGGGCAGTCTCTAGACACTTGCATTGAGATCTGCAAGTGGTGGGGCACGCGCAGGTCCACCCAGCCTTACCCCAGCACTGGCAACACCTGAAGCGTCACGTCTGTAAGGGACTCAGATGCTCTAGCAGGAAGGGCCGACTGTCAGCCAGCAAAGCAGGGCTTGGACAAACAGTTCGTTATGAACTAAAATCAGTGCATATCAATGTCTGTATCAATATCTGTAGATATTAAAAATATTGTGTCATAACATGTTGAAAATTCTGATAAACCCATACTTTCATGTTATTCATAACCTATGGAGGTAGATGAAGACTGCAATCAATTGTACCTGTGGGTTTTGGAGAAGAATTTCGTACTGGTGTTAGAGCTGAAGCTCTATGCCTGCATACCTACAGGTGCTTATGCGCAGTTATATGGGAGAGGCAGTGCTGACTGAGATGAATCTCTGACACTGTGGCATCCCAGAGAGCATAGGGAGAATATTAAAGCCTATCTTTGGAGTCCAAAGGTGGCAAATAACAATTTATATAATAACTCTTGAAAGGGAACATTTTAGTAATTGTTGATTTTAATATAGACATGAGCTTGCTTGTAAAACTCTTGTATATCGTCATGTAAAAAGTGTCGGTCGCTTAAGGGAGAAGCGCCTTGCAGCAGCCCTGAACTCCTGCAGTGCCCAGCGCCGGGGGAACGGGGCCCAGGCCTGAGGCTCCTATTTATAGTTTCAGTGCAAGTCAAGTGCTAACGTGTTGTGAAGCGGAACGGAAACCCTGAAATACCCCTGTGCAATATTCTGGCTTGACTGAACCTGCACTTATTCTGTGTTTCTTCCGTTGGCGATACAACAACAGCAAAATGTCCTTTTTGCTGTTGCGTGTGCAACCTCTGGTGACGGCTGTGGGAGCTGTACGTTGGCCTAACTGAGGGTGCGTCTTTGTCCATCGGACTTTTGCTTAAAGATCTGGTTGTTCGCTTCTACCCAAGCTGACCCCAACTGCTGAATTTGCTCTTTGAAGAAAGCGAGTGCCACGTGGTAGCTTTCCTTTTCTTTCCTTTGACAAAGTTTTCTTTCAGAGACTAGTTTTTCGTTTTTAAATGCAACATCCACCCGAAAAGAACCTGTGTGTTAAAGCAGGCCATCGAGCTTTCATCACTTCTCTGGGTGATAGCAGTCATGAATTTTTTATTTTCTGCAGGGCTCACTCCAGATCTGCCAAAGCATTGTGTGGGTGCACGCACGTAAAAGGGCTACTAATTGAAATTCAGATGTAACGAAATGAAGTTTAGCTATTCACCACGGCTGCCTTTTGTTTTAGCCCTTGTACGCTCAGTGCACCTAAACAATGCAACCCTTGCTTCTCCTTTTAGATTCAACAAGAATAGCTTAAAAGGCACAAAATATTTCCGTGCCCTCTCTAGGGATGAAATATGCCTTGAAAAACATGGGAAGGGTGTGTGTTAGTTTATCTACTTCTTTGCAGGGGGAGGCAGAGATTTTGATGGAACTGGAAAGAAAATAAAATAGGAATCTTGCTGCTAGAAACTTGCTCGGTTTTGAACATGCAAATGCGCTTCTATTGCCTAGGTAACTATTATGGAACGCCCAAGCCTCCGAGCCAGCCCGTCAGTGGGAAAGTGACTTCCACCGATGCTCTGCAAAACCTGCAGTCCGGCTCCAAGCAGTCGACTCCAAAGCGGACCAAATCTTACAATGATATGCAAAATGCTGGCATAGTGCATACAGAGAATGAGGAAGAGGATGATGTACCTGAAATGAGCAGTAGCTTCACAGGTAAACCCAGACTATTGCAGCCCATCAAATAGGCCACGTGGGGATGGGCTTTGGAGTTAGTTTGTAGGGTTTGGGTTTTTTTATAGATTTCCTTCAAAACTGTCAGTCCTGGAAAAAACTGGCCCACAGCACCTGGATGGCAGGTGTCCTGGTGTTGACAATCGCATGTACAGCTGCATCTTCTAAGAAGGCCGTGTGGGGTTGGGCTGGAAGAGAGGAATCCGACAAAAAACATCAAATCCATTAGTTGCTTTCTTTTTTTCTGGGTAGCTGTTGTTTTAGTGATGGGCAGAATTTGAAAAGGAAGATATACAAATGAAATTCATGGGTTTTTTTTTTTTTTTTCTTCCTTGGGAAACATTTTACTTTACAGCACTACATTTTGAAGTCCTCCAGCACTGGAAACTGCTAGGTTTCTGAGTAGGCATCTTTACTGTGAAGAATAATTGAGACTTTTTAAAAGGTATTCTCTGGTACTATGCACTTTTGTCATTAAGGGCACATTCATATTCTTTCAGAGATTGTCTATTGAATGCAGTCAGCCAAATTCTGCTTTCAGTTGCTCTAATGTACATCTGAATTACTCCATTGAGCCAAATGACAGAAGTTTAAGTACAGAATGGTGGAATGATGTCAGGTAGAAATTATGGGTAACACTGCTTGATCCCCTTATGCTCTGAGTTAATCATTCTGCTGCTGGCAAATGCAGAGATTTTTATAAAAAAAGAAGCATATAATGACTTCTCGTGTCAACAGGCCAATGTTTTGAACATCACTTTGTGGATGGTCAGCTTGAAATGTGACTGTCCTACTGGAAATTAGAAACTGTCTGAGTTTGAAAGGATCTTGAACACTATGTGAAATGCTCTCTTCTAATATCACAGCTTAGCCTCAGTTAGAACCTCAATTCTGCCCGTAGCTTTTCCAGTTAGTTGTCACTTTGTTCTCAGCCACGCTCAGAAAAGTCAAGAGAGAATTGTCCTATGGTTGACAGTTGCAGCCGTTTTAACCAGAACGAAGCAGCTCAGCATGGATATGTTTGAAATGAATTTTTGCTTCTTCCAGAAATATGTTACTGTCCTTTCCCCTTCCTTACACCTAGAGATAGCCAGCACATCCAGTGACTAGGTCCTCTTGTCCAAGGTACCTTCCACCAAACTGAGGGCTGCTTGCTCTGGGGAGGAGGTCTGAAGTGTGGATGCAAGCTCTCTATTTTTGTGAAGGCCTTGTCTTTTCTTTTCCCTGCTGTCCTTCCAACCTGAACACAGATCTCACTCCCACCCTCAAGCATTGGCTCTAAGGTCACTGGAAGCTTTTGTGGTCTAAAGTCAGGTATTGTGTGCAGGCAGATTTGGAGCCTGTTTTTGAGCATCTTTCAGAGATCAGTTGAGTCTCCAAAAAAATCAGCAGGAGGTATCTGAAACTCCGAGGAGCAGGGACTCTTCTCTGTGTCTGCCAACCCAGAATTTCTTATAAATGGAGCTTTACTTCCTCAGCTCAGTTTTCAAGCACTGATTTCATCTTCCTAGCTCCCTGTGAAGTAGGTTTGTAGCAAGCAGCGCTATCCGCACCTTTGAGCTTTTTGAAGCTGGTTGCTGTGGGTGCTAGCCTTGCGGGCACTTGGCCCCCTGGGGATTTGTACCAACCTAGCAAGTTGATGAAAGATTGGAGATGGGAATGCAGGCAATGCTGGCCCTTCATCTTCTGGTTGCTTCCCACCACCGCGATAATTTTCCATCTCAGCCTCAGATGAGTGCTATCAGCTATCATGCCAATTACTTCCCAGCAAAGTCCTGGCTCTAACAGATAGACATTTAAAAGGTTTTAGGCTGAGAGGTAGGTCCTTGTGGCTCTGGTCATTTTCGTCACCATTATGCTCAGAGCTATTTTAATGGTGGTCATAGGTCCCGAGACTCTCCCCCCCCCCCCCCCCGGACCAAACTGTCAAACGGTTTTGAGGTTTGTCCTCTGCTTGGCTTTTACCCATTGTATTTTTCCAACCCCAAATCACTCCTCAGCTCCTTTACAAAATATTGTGCCTGAGGGTAGTTTCTCACATATGTGACATGGCAGCTCCCTGAGCCCAAGTCTTGGGATCTGTTTTTGGCAGGAAGCTGTTCTGAGATGCTGTTTGACCTCTTTTCTAGCTGTCTCTGGTGAGAGGTGTTCCTCTTGAAGCGATTCAGCGTGGTGCCCCTGAACTGATTGCAGCATCATTTGTCATCCTCATTTTTCTTCACAAGATGAAATACTGGAAGATGCAGTTAATTTATCACAACTTCATCACACCCTGGCCCCTTGCCTCCGTTAAATGGGCACAGAATCAAGAGGAGAGAGTTATTTCTCCTATACCAAAATGATTCCTTATGCTTATTTCATGTGTAACTGTGCTAGCCATATTAAAATGTTCTCACTTCCATAGGAGACCTGTCAGTGACTTGTGTTCTTCAGGCTTTGGCATGTTCACACTCACAGTTTAAGCTGGCGATGATTCATTCATGCTCCAACTTCTTTATCTTGTCAGCATCTACCTAAAAATATAGAACAGCAGGAAGGCTAGAAAGCAGACAGTTGAGGGCACTGGTATAGTCTAGATCTTTTTGTTCCCTTTTTTCCCAGTTTAATATTGTCAGTATCTTGTATTTTCACAGCCTTTCACAGAGGCAGCCACAGAGTAGGAATGGCGCAGGAGCTGCTACTAACAGATCCCCCCGAAACAAGGCCCTGGGCTTTGAAATGAGGATTTGAGGGATCTCCAGTCTGGAGAGCAGAAGCGAGGTCTTGGCTCTGAGCCCTTTTGGTCTCAGTACAGCGAACATGGCAAAGTACAATGTTAGCCTCAGTGTTGCTTGCTTGATTGTATTATGTGGCTGTACTGGGAACTAGTGATCTGGTGACTTGCAGGTCATCTCAGGTGGATTGGAAGGACTACCAAAGTTTTTCACCATCTTCAGAAACCCCTTCCCCTTTACTAGACACCAGAGTAACGTTAGAATTTGTCAGTTGCTGCTGAAGCCTGCTTGCGAAGGATTTTGGAGGGCAGACGCTAGTTTGTGGGGAGCGTTTCCAATGGTGTTAGGGATGGAGGGAATGGGCAGCATTTTTGCCTAGCTACAGCTCAAAACTGCATGGATATAAGCAATATATTTCCTTAAATGGAGGAGAGCCAGATACATCGTGAGATGCTTCTGAGTGAGTGTGAGTGGAAGGGTACTGTCAGGAGCACTGGAATAAAACTCTGTGGTTGGAACAGGCCATTGTGAGCAGCAACATGTGGACGCATGGTACAGTGCTGGCATTCACTTTAATTTTTAATTCAAAAAACCACTGCACTGGTGGCTGCACTGCACCATTAGCTTGTTGACTTTCAGCTTCTGGCTACCTTCTGCACTTGTAAAGATCTCCCCTTCTGATCATTCTTCAAACAGGAAATTTTAGTCTCCTAATCCCTGTCCCACAATTGGCACTACGGGAGTGAACCTGTAAGCCTGCTCAGAAGCCCATTGAACTCATCTACATCAGTGAGCCCTGGCCTCAGACAGCCTGGAAGATTTTGGTAGCTCAGCAGGGCCTATTAATGGAAACACAGCAGCTGATCGCAGTTTCTGGTTTGCTCTGGCGAGGGTCTGGCTGGCAGAGTGGGCAAAGCAAGCTCATCCCTGCTGGCAAAAAGACTCTGCAGAGCCTCTGCCCTCGGTTCATCTACTGTTATGTCTTACATATTAAAAAGCAAGGAGAGCCTTTGAAAAGAGAATTGTGAGGGAAAACCTGGAGAAGCAAAATAGGAGGAGAAAAATACTGTGATTGTCAATTTTATTTGTGCTTGTTTATTCCATAGCAGAGTCTGGTGACCAAGGCGAGCATAATACGCATATCACACGAGAGAGAGCCCCGCCGTCTGTGATTGATAGCCACACCAACGTTCCCACCACGGAACCATCTCAGAACCTCCCTCAATACCTACCTCCTTCTGCCGAGGATAACCTAGGTCCTCTGCCAGAAAACTGGGAGATGGCCTACACCGAGAACGGAGAAGTCTATTTTATAGAGTAAAGCACATTTATGTTGTTGTAATTCTTCTCTCTCTCCCTCTCTCTGGGCATAAGTAAACCTCTGTGGATGCATTGTGTTTGTTATATGTATTAAATTTTTAGTGTATACAGTTATGTTGCAGAGCTAAAAGTTCTTCAGTGCTTATGCAGTGTTTTTGCATTTCCTGATTGGATTAGCATCCAAATTATTCCAGAGTTCAAAGGCGGGGGAATTGCTTGTTTTACAAAAGCAACAGTTATAAAATGTGGTCCAGTTGTTTTCGAGGGTGGAATGAAAGCTCCTAATTGAAAGGGCTGAGAGTCCGTTCCTGGAGCCTGCCCCTGTGCACAATGCAGCAGGGTCTGGGAATTCCTCTGGTCGTGTTCAGGCGGTAGCAGAGCTGGGAGACTGGCTTTTTGAGTCTTGTCCTCTCATCAGAGCAAACGGCCCAAATGTGTCACTGTGCTCCTGTGATTTGCAGAAGGTATAGCTCAGTGCAAAGCAGGCAGAGAAAGTCTGGAAGAGCAGAAGTACCTGGTGCTCTGCTGTCTTTGCCTGATAGCTGTGTGCTGTCAGCAGCTTGAAGATGATACTGATTTTTCCTGCCAAAAATAATCTCTAATTGTATTTGTCCAGATTTATTCAAACTGGAGTAACTTATAAAATGGGACCTGTTAGTCGGAGAGACTTCTTGCACAGTTTAGCTATTCATTAAAATTCAAATAGCATTTGAAACTCAAGCCCTTGGCTGCACTAATAGAGAAAAGGGGTGAGGAAGTGATTTTACTTTTGATGGTCTGTCTAATGCAGTCTTGGAAACTGAGGCCCCTCTACCTGTCTACTAAAAGCCAGTGACCAGGTTAGTTAGTACAGAGGAAGCCCCTCTGTTAACACCCGTCCTGGCACGCAGGGGAGTTATGTTTATGCTGGATTATGGCAGAAATGGGAACAGTCCTACCTCATCCTCCAGAGAGAGGACTTTTGGAAGAGGCCAAGGAGAAGTCTTGTAGAAAAGGTTCTTCCATGGCTGCAACGACAGGGGAGTACATAAGAAAGAGTGGCAAAAGATTTGAGGAGCTGGGAGGATTGATCACACTGCAGCAGCTCTTCACTGGCTGGGAGGGGCCTGCTGTAAGAAAAGTCATTTTTTCAGGGCTCTCTTAATTACCTGAGAGGCTTCACCAAGCCCCTTACATAAGCCAAAGTCAAGAAGGCACAATGCAAATTCTCATCTCCTGCATTTTGGATGCAACTGAAATGTGTTCGTTATCCTGAACACGGTATTCTGCCCCTCGTTATGTTCTTTGGTGTGCTTTCTGGCTTTGACGTATATGAAACAGCCTGAGTGATACCCCATCCAGCTTGCCGTTTTCCTCCCTGGAGGAGGGTGGATGTTGAGAGTTAATGCTGCCCAGGCAACCGGCTGCTCCCTTCTGCGTGCCAGCGTGGGCCCCTGCCATCCCTCCCTATAGGTGCTTGAGCAAGGGGTGCTGCTGCTGCCACCAGTTTCCCCAAAACTAAGATCAGTCCCTGCAGCTGCTCTGTACGCACGTGTGGTCTCTTAGCGGTACAGCCCTGGAGAGCCTTGAATAATTTGTTAGACTTCTTGCAGGAAAACCATATATAAAATGGAAAAGCAACCTGCATGATACGGCTCGGTGTCTGACATGAAAGCCTGGTAGCACACCAACTGCTTTCTTTCCTGCAGTGCAGACTGACCGTTTCAAGGATACATGTGCTTGGGGAGGGGATTTTGTGCAAGGATGTGTTAGCGTAGGTGGAGCACACAACAAATGCAGTTTTGTTATTTCTAGGGACACCCTGAGCCTAAAAACAATTTAGTTTGACTTGTATCAAATTAAGAGAGCAAGCTGATGAGCTCTGTGGACCCAGGCTGGCTCAGAAGTTTGTACCATCACCTCTGGTGCTTTGGGTTAGCAAGTTGAGGTGCTTGCTCAGGACTAGCAGAGGCCAGAGCTGAGCACCAGATAACTCATCCTGCTGGATTGCAGCTGAAGCAAACTGGCTCTTTAGATGTAGTTCTGTGATGCATTAAGTGGGATTTCTGTTACCCAAAGTATCCCAGGCTCTCGTTATCCTGCATATAGAGCCGTCCGTGTTACAGGTCTGACAACCATCCTCTCTCTCTGAACGTATGATCTGGAAGGTATTTAGCTAAATTTTACTATGTCTCAGCAAACCGCCCTGTTTTGAATCTTACGGTTAGAGAGACAGTTGCAAGAAATAAGTAAATACTCCCTTGCTCTCCTCCCACTGCCCTCTTTTCGCAGCTAGACTACAGACTTTGTTATTTATAAGTTGGCAGAACCCCTCTGCTTTATTGCTGTTAATTTGCCTGACTTGCTGAATTTCTGCCATTGAGTTTTCCAGTTGGCGATTAATTGCTCTGAAGCATACAAAAGAATTAAACGAGTTTGTTCATCCTGCCTTGGGAAGGCTGGGTAACAGAACGTGTGAAACAAGGACTTTTATTTAAGCACTCAGAAGCAGGGCAGTCCTGTGTTTTTACCGTAAAATCTGAGTCCGCTAGTCAGTTGTTAGTTCCTAGAGGATCATAGCCCTCGGGGCAACATTTCCTGCTTCGCAAGGGTGTTGTGAGGCTTAGCTTAAGGTTGTAAACCTTCTAAGACCCGGAAGGAGAGGTAAATAGCATTGCATGATATTGAAACTCAAAACTGCTAAATGGTGTTAAAGGCTAAGCTAGAAAAATGAGATACCAGGAGCAGGAGGGTTATCTTTGCAGGTCAGGTCTGAGATGCTGTCAGGTTGAAGAAGAGGAGTTATACTACTAGCTTTTCTTCATACGCAGATCAAATGATGGGAAGAAATAAATTATAGAATATTTGTTTAAAGCCTGTTCACTACATAGCCATCACCCCTGGGACTGGCATCCCGATTCTGTTGGGGGACTTGTAGAAAAGAAGAGTTGAAAATGAAGATGTTCAGCTTCCATCAGAGGCTTTGATGGAGCATTTTTGTTTGTGCAATTGAAAATTTTCCCTAGAAATTTTGATTTTTGACTAATACTTGGGTTAAATCTGAACAAATGTCAAAGGTCTTTTGCAGTGAGAAAGGTTGCTGCATCTTTTATGGAGGAAGGGAAAATACTTTTCAGTCTTTTTATCATGAGGTGAAGGATTCATGAAATAGCTCCTGGAATTAAAAACCAAGCCATCAAAGGAAAAAGTTTGGAAATGAATATCATAATATTGCTACTTTCACGTGCACTCTCTTAGGCAGTAATGCTTGTTTTTATATTTTATCTTTTTTACTTTTCACCTTTGTTTTTTCAATGCCAAGATTCTTGTGATTTGGTAGACTAGTTTGCAAAACATCAAATTGTAATGCCATTTCTTCTGTAGCAAAAGTATGCCTTCAGGTCTGTTGAATAGTAAAGAAGATATATACTTTTCTGTCACTGATACTTCAGCTCTAGTTTATTAACAAAGGTTATATTTCTGTTTTTTTCTTTCTAGCCATAATACAAAAACAACATCTTGGCTAGATCCACGGTGCCTGAACAAACAGCAGAAGCCTCTAGAAGAATGTGAAGATGATGGTAAGAGACTGAAAATAGTGAAATAGTAATGTGTTTGGTCCATTTCTAGGTGGCTTTCTCCCTTTCCTCTTCCCCTTTTCCATAACCTCTGTTGAGAACTGCTAAAAAAAGAGGTGAAAGGGTTTATGAGTAAGTGCACAGAGATGATAGCTAAAAACGCTGTCTGTGCGTGTAAGGTAGTCATCAAGATTGCAGATCTTGTAATAAAAATTGTAGAGAGGTAACCAGCATCTCTGTTTATGCAAAAGAGTTTGAATAGTCACTGATGCTGAACGAGGCTCAGCTTTCCAACACGCTCACCACTTGGATGCTGGGGTAGGAGGAAAGCGACCGAGTCTCTGTGTGCTCCATCATGTTACGCTTCAACAGTCTGTTTTATGTGAATCAGGAGAGTTGTGTTATTATTTCCTTATATGAGCAGAAATAACTCAATTGCTTCACTCTTAATGTTAAATTCTGACATGCCACTAAGCGTTACGGTTGCTGAAGACAGATTCTATTTGAAATCACAGGTTTTTAACCCCTGATAATTTCCACTGATGTAATTTTGTATTCCTTGAGATGTTGGAAATGCAAGCCACTGTCCAATTTAGAGCAGCCAAATGCATGACTGTTGAAGGAGGTTCTTTCCCTGCATCCTTCAGGAGGCATTGGAAAAAACTTAAACGTTTCGGAAAGAGTATTTGCAAATTTTGATCTGTTGACCAAATGAGGTTATGATATTTTAATCCATAATTTTAGCTAGCACAATGTTGGCATGGTAGACAGATCTTAAAAATGTAAAAGTTTACTTCATCAGTGTTGGTGCTGTCCTTGTAAAATTAATTTTCATAATATGAGTAATCTCCTACTGGTGTGAATCAGCTTCTCATGAGTTATCATTTTACTTTGGAAAAGAATCAGTGTAGTTCATCCATTTTTACTGATAGGTTCAAACCTGGCCTTCAGAGCCGCTGCTGCTATTTTTGCGCGTGCAGTTTTTCAACTTCCGCTTTCTTTCACATGTGAGATTTTGCAGGATTTGAGAATTTAACTGTGCAGCCTTCTCTGACATGATGAAGCAAGTTGCCAGCTTGCTTATGAGAAGTGCAGTGCCTACCCAAAACGCTGCAAGGATATGCAAAGCTCAGAAGAAAACTGAGCACAGCGAGTTGAGATGCCTGCTTCAGATCCCTTAGCAACTGGCGTCATCTGTCAAGGAGCAAGCTGGATTAATGAAGGCCTTGCTCTGGGCCTAAAAATGGATATGTCAGTGGGTAGTCAGAACTGGAACAAAATTAAATCACAGTGTATGCAGGCAGAACGCCCTCCTCCTTGCAGTTGAGCTTTGGTGGCAATTTAAAGAGGAGGTTGATAAGTCTCAGCATAAGCTTTCAGAGCCTCATTTTCCCTGGAGTGCAACTTCTGTCCAAGCTTTCTCGGCCGGCAAGGCGCCGACTATGCCCGTAGCCCGGGTGAAACGACTGAGTCATGTGCTGCCGAGCCGACGTGGCTTGCTCTGTGCCCAGAGCCTGCTGAGCACCCGGCATCGGCATAAGGCAACAGCGGATGGCTCAGCCCCACAGTTTAAAGGCTCCTTGGAGAAAGGAAAGTCTTTCAAACCTTTGTCCTTGTAGTAATTATGAAACAAATATTGGAATAATTTATTTAATTAGGATTGTAAATATACAGCTGGGTAGTTTTTCATATTTAATTAAGTTCATGATTTTACAGAGTAGCAGCGTTTTTGTTTATCAGGTCTTCTCATTCAGCTAATTTCATCTTCCCACACTCCCCTTCACTCCATTCACTAAGCTGCTTATTAATGAATACTTTTAACAGCAGTTGAACCAACCTTTTCATAGGTGCAGCAGTACACTGTACAGTTTTGCTTGGCTGCTCTGATCTTGCTTTACACATAAGAATATTTATATTTCAGAAAATAAAATAAGCATAAAGAAGAGAAAATCATTTTTACTGCATTACATAGGTTGTACATTTTTTGGCAAGGGTCACTGTTGTGAGTACTTCCACTGAAGTCAGTGGGACTGCTCTCCTCTGTTTGATTGTGCATGTGTGTGCGTGCAAGTTTTCGGGCTTGATCCTGTCCTGTTTGTGGTTTTATAAATGTGAGATATCCTTTCAGACTTGCTTGGGTGCAGTTGCGTTGTGTTCTTCCCTTCTGAGGATACTTGTCCCAGAGAAGTTATTGGTAGTTCCCAGTTGTTTTAGGCTATTGAAGAAAATTGCAATTTGTAATTCACACTGATGTTCCTAAACAACTGTTCTGGCAGAATATATTGCAAACAGGTCATGGAAGTGGTTTCAGGTGTCCCAATTTTCAAAAGCAATACTGTAGCACTGCATCTTCTGTTTGCTTCTATCATTCATTTATGTGGCTTACACTTTACTGTAATAGGTCCAAGATTGTGTTTACCATCTCCATTCTGATTTTGTCATCATCTTTCATTTTCTGACTGCATTATTATTATTTATAGGCTGAGCAATACTTTTAATCATCTGTGTCACTGTTAACTTATGAATATGGAGTAGTTAATGGTAAATGGAGCGACAGTGAATATTGATGGCTTTGTGTGTTTCAAAGATTGTTACGTGATCTTTGTCCCAGGGGTCCCTCTGAAAGCAGTGCATACCTCTCTGTTCCTCACCAATGCATCTGGTCTTCAGTAGGGACCTGGGACTCCAGTCAAACAAGACTCTTAACTTCCTATCTAGCTTAAATCATCTGAACAGTTGCACGGAAGTCAATTCAACCTTGCATGCACAGAAATTTAGGTACTTTCTTGAGTACCTTGCTACATTAGTTCTTATTTAAATGCAAGGTTTTCCTCTCAGATTTCTTCATTAGTACTCAAGTCTGGCCTTCTGATAGATATGTGTGTCTACAGAATGGATTGCTAAGGTGTGACCACACAGATCTGAGAGAGAAACTTCCTTACGAAAATGGGAACAACATGATGTGCTACTTTGCCGTATGAAACTGTAGCATGAACGTGGTCAATTGATACAGATATCTTGACAATGCAAGAACCGATTCTTTCATAATCTACATCAGATCCATCAATATTCTGGTCACTGAAATATGATAAGCTGAAAGCTTTGGCTAGATCTGTAGAAAATTAGTACTGGTTCTGCTATTTGCTGTAGGGAATTTCTTGCTTGGTGCTGGTATCTGAAATTTTCTTTTAATTTTTTCTATCTCATTTACTGCTCTTGCCTTGGAGAAGAAGGGGTACACACGGAGGAACTGGACAGTGAACTAGGTAAATCATCCATCTCTCATTTTGGTGTTTGACTTCAACTGCACTGTTTTAAGCCTTTGATTGCTTACTTTCTTCTTTGTGTCATTTTGCATCTTTCAAGTTTTTTGTTTCAATAAGGCCTAATTTAGCAGCAAGACTTCCCTGGCCCAAGAAGCATTAGTCTTTCCATAGCCACAAATCTGCAGTACCTTTCTCGCTAATTCAGAGTTTGAAGAAGAGAGTTAAAAGAGGGCCTTAATCTCGCAAAGTTTGTTCCAAATGGTTTATTCCTGGACCCTACGAGAGTCAAGGGCTTTTCCATTGGCGTTGCTGTCTCCGGAAAAAAGCCCACTGATGCCAAAGTTGAGATCAAGTACCTAATGGTGCCTTTTCAGGACTGGGACCAAAGACATTTCCCACACAAGAGAAACAAAGTGAGGTTTAGGAAGTTTAAGTATTATGCAGAATGCTTTTGCTGACCTTGGAAGTGAAACAGTAAAACTTTGTACCGCTGTACATGGTTTCGTAAACAGATGATTTCAGATGATGTGGTACAGTTTTATTTGCTGCATCTTTTTTGTGAAGAATGCTGTCTTAATATCTAATCTCGGCGGTGCTCTTTCTGTTTACACTGATGGTGGAGGTAGTTGTTATTCCTGTTCAGCTATGCTCTAGTGCACTTGGAAAGTTGAAAGGTGTGAGAGGTTGCATAGCATTTTATTTCCACTAGGTCTATTATTTTGCTTTAAAGAGGATTGTATTTATAGTTTATAGTACTGCGCACTGGAGGATTGTATTACCAGAGAATTAACCTCTGGTTTCTGTAATGACTTGCAAGTGCATTCTGCTTCCCACTTTGCTGCGATGGATACGTCATCAGCAGCCAGCAGTTATTGACTGGTCTTTTAACAGTACTCAAAGAACTACTCTTCTGGATAATATGCTTGGAATAGTGTTGGAGGCCTAATCTATTTTAGAGCAAGAATTTAGCAGGAATTACAATTTGAAGGAGAATGCAGTCACTTGAGTTGCATGTCAGCATTACACACAGCCCAGACAGATGGTCACCAGCAGACCAGTTAGCATCAGGAGTAGGTGGATGCCTACCAATAGCCTGCAGGTGTTTTTCATGGAGGCCTTCACAAAGGGTGACTTGAAATAAGAAAAAGGGCGAAAAGCAAAATTAGAGGTAATAATGAAAGAGAAATGTTCCGTTTTTTCGGTCTGATATCGGGATCCAGTGCAAGGGAAGAAGGGCAGAAGAAATAAATGCAGGAAAACTCATTAATTGATAAGGTTGACCCCAGTTCTACATGCACTTATACGCACAAGTGTTTTACTCTGACATTATGAGATGTTCCCTTGGTTTTAACGCAGATAAGCTTTATTGAGGTCACAGCCCATGGATGTATTATTGAGATCTGCAAATATTGCAGTGTGAAGAAAGACATTTTCAAATGGTTCAGTTGGTTGCAGCAGCATTAGTGATGGTGCATGAAAACATATGGCCTATTCACTAACTGTACTCATGATTAGCATAAACGATTTGTTGCCAGATATTTAGCTCCTTAGTTTTTGTAAAGCTTGTTTTCTAAGTGTGAGAAATTAAAACTGGAAGCATTTACATGACTTTTTATTTTCCAAAGATGTGGATTTAATATGGAGCAATAGATCACCTCTCTTTTGGCATAAAGTTGTACGAAAGAACACGAAAATTTAGCCTTTGTAGTAGAACTGGGCACAAGCGTAAGCAGATCCTCCTGGACTCACCCATGCAGGTGATACACTGGTGTCAGCTCTAGCTCCTTCATAGTGATGCAAGGATGTGACTAAAGTCCTTGGTGGTTAGAGAAAGTCTTTAAGAATCCCTCCA